TTTTAATAAACAATATTATTTCTGTGAGCAATACCTTTCCGTTGCGTATCCTTCTGAACTTTAAGAATGTCCTTCATCCTTTTGTCATTACAGTTACAATATCACGCCCTATGAATATAATTTTTTTTTGTTCGTCTCTTAGAAAATAACATTTTTGATGTGTACCAAACACCGATCATTTTTGTTAGTAGGCTGCGAATCATTTGCTTATCAAAGAGCCCCATTTACTTATTACATAAATAAATATTAATATTTGAAAAAACTTATTCAATGCTGTTGAATTCAATGATCTAGAATTTATATTAAATTTAAAAAGCTGCAACCAGTTTTTTTTTTCTTTTGGTCAGTTTCTGAGCAGCATCTCTGCTTTCAAATGTATGGTTCCTTTAAATTCAAATAACTCTGTGTTATGTTCAACATCGTCAAATTCCTCACAGTGCTGTAGTATCATAAGAGAGACATGTATACAGAGGAATACTGCGCAGCCTTTGAAAGTAACAACATCTCTCTATTCCACCGCCTTTGTAAGATACTCTTAATACCACACATCCGCACTCGTACATGCAGAATCACCTTTCGTTGCTTTGTATACCCCGCTGCATTTACACTGAGGTATCTCCCCCAACCACACCCCACAGCTGCCCACAGCCCCGATCTGACAACCAGGGCGCGCGGCTTTCGGCTCTTACGGAACCGTGGTGGCCCCGCCCTCTCTCCTTCCCCAGCCTTCCTCAACGGCTGCGCGCCTCTCTCGTTGCAGGCGCCCGCAAATTATCCGTCGCTGCGGTTGGACCTTTCTCGTAATTCGAGGGCCTCGCGTGGAGCACCCATCCCCGCCCCCCCCCGCCCCGTCTCCGCCCCGCCACCCCCCTTTCTGGCCAAACCTCCTCTCTCCACGACATTACCTCGGCCTTTTTCCCCTCCACCGCCTCTTCCCCGACTCCAACTCCCAAGTCTTATCTCATCCCCGCCTCCCCGCACCTATTCTGTTCCCGCCATTTTCCGTCTCTTCCGACCTTCACCTTCCCCCATCCCCCACCCCTCCCCCGATCCCACCCCTCCCCCGATCCACCCCTTTCCCTCCGATCCCACGTATTCCCCTGGTCTCACCTGTTCCCTCGACCTAGCCTCTTCTCATTTTCGCGTTTTCCCAACTATCTTTACTACTCCTATGCTATTAGTAATCCCACCACCACTTCCTCGTTGGCACTACCTACTCCGCATATCAGTGTCTCTCTATTTAGTCCCATTTCCACCTCTTCCTGACCCAGTCCCACCCACCTCTATTGCGTCCTTGCGTCGTCTCCATCTCGTTCCCGTCCCGGATTCTCATTGCCTCCTTCGCTTTATCCCCGAGCCTCGTCGTTCCCACACCTTCTCCATCACCCTTTCCCTCCCCAACGCTTACCTCGCCACATCACACCACACCCTCCCTCCCCATCATTGATTCATCCCACCCACGCAATGGTCAAAGGTCAGAATTAGCGCTTCTGTGTGCCCACGCAACAGTCTGCTTCACCCCCGCCGCACTCAGCCCCGTCCTCACCACCCTCTCCGCTCCACCCCTCCCGCTCCATCTCCTCGCTCCGTCCCCTCCGGCCCGCCCAGCCCAGCCCAGCCCAGCCACGCCCCCACCGCCCCGCTCCGCGGCCGAGGCTGGCGCGCTCTGTTATTTGGAAGCCCCTTTCAGGCGCCGGAGCCTGGTGCGTGAGGCCTGTAAATACGCCAGGTGCTCATTATTCTAATGGGAAAATCGCGGAAGCAGTGGCGGGACCTGAATTAACACGTGTTCCGTCGTTCGTGATGGCGTTGTGGATTCAGTCTCGTTGTAATAGAGAAATCTATGCGGCAAAACAGCGTCATTCACTGTATTACATTTGATATCAATTTGAACTATTAAAACAATTCAAATTAAATAATTGAAAACTATATATTTTATTGGCAAATCTACTTACTAACGTCAAAATGTTCACAAACTGTACTCCAATGTGCTTTAAAAGTTATAAATTTTGGAATTTTTGTGAGTTTCGGTTTTGCACATTATCATGATTACAAAATTATATTCCTGTAGTTTTCTAATTTACATTATACTTACTCATCATTCTCCCTCGTTATTGTTTTGTTTCAAGAACAGTTGCAAATATTAATGGCTCAATAAATAAAATTAAAAATTAATCAAAGCTTGAGAGGAGAAATAACTACAACCTATTTTGTCTTATTAAAATATTTTGTAGACTCTTACATGTTGGTATCATTTAAAACAAATTCGTTGTTAAAAAGTACATGTAACGGCTCTGCACCGAAAAAATTGTTGTTTACTTGGTAACATTGTTAAGAAAATATTGTTTTTCACTCTCGAATACTAACGTATACCTTGAAAAGTTTTCCTAAAATAAAGAATCTTATCTAATGCTGCGTAAAATCGATTTCGAGATTTCCACGGAAATAAGTTTTGGGTCCCCTAATGGCAAAATCATGTTGTTTGTTATTTAAACATCTGCGACGGTAGGCAAGGGTGAACGATCGAAAGGACAGATGTTTTGCCGTCAACCAATTTTACGGTTTCAATGACCCACAAAACCTGGCTTTTGACTATACAATATGTTAGGGGAACTAATTTGCTCCAAATAGGAACGTGATTTACCTACATTTTTGGTGTCATGGACCCTTAAAACTGAATTGCTGTTACTTGCTGCAGCATTACATTTTCTATAATTCTATAAGTAGTATGTCCGGGACGAGACTTTAAGCCACCGACTGCTCTGATAGATAGTTTTCTGTGGTTTCTCTGATAAATAAGAGGCAACTGCCGGAGCAGTACTCTGACAAACGGGCCACATGCCGCGCACGATCTTTCTTTCCCCTTCCTTAAACTACCCTTATCTTTACTTACATACACTTACATACTCTACACTACCACGCATACCGGGAGATCGGTCGGGAGCTTAGATCTTGTCCCGGCTGGGGCTGTTCCCCACTATTTGAGGAAGTCCTCGCTAGCCGACAGGTACGTCAGCGCCGGATGTCACCATCCAGCGGGAGAAAAGTACCGCCACCTTTCGAGGAAGGAATGCACTACACTTACGTAACTAATGACCTTAGCTGTTGACCCGCCCGGAATCACTAATCAATCAATATCTCACGGGGATGAACATCTCGGAATTAAACATGCCCTACAATTACGGGACCATGGCAGTTAACGCCTCCGGAAACACTGTACCAAATAATCAATCAATCGAAGCCCATGGTTATTCCATTGGAAGCTCTCTTGGGCTTGATGGGCGAGGGCGAGGAGCAGCAGATAAGCGGGCTCTTGATTGTGAGCGGCGGCGGGCGCCCTTACGCGGAGGCAGGGCGAGGCCCAGGCGGCTGATGGATGGCGCTGCGGTCGCCGCGAGCGTTGCCCAAGGCTTCCTGCAGCGATGATTATGCACTTAGGCGGCAATCGGCGCGGGGCGGATCTTCGGCCGGCCGCGCCATCGTCGCCCACCCACCTCGTCTCGCCCCTTCCTCCACTCCCTTTCCATTCTGCATTTCGCCTTCTCGCCCTCGCCTCGCCTCGGCCCTCGCCTCGCCTCGCCCTCGGCCTCGCCTCGGCCTCGCCCTCGCCTCGAACCTCGCTCGCCCTCGCCTCGCCTCGGCCTCGCGCCTTCGCCTGCCCTACGCCTCGCCCTCGCCTCGCCATCGCCCTCGCCTCGCCCTCGCCTCGCCCTCGCCTTCGCCCCGCCTCCAGCCCGTTCCTCTCCCCCCCCCCAGTCCACCTCACACTCCGCTTTCATATTGTGCTACTAAGTCCGCTTCCATAAGCCCGCCTCAATAGCCCGCCCTCATAAGCCGCTTCGATAGCCGCTCATAGCCCGCCTCATAGCCCGCCTCATAGGCCGCCTCATAGCCGCCTCATAGCCCGCCATAGCCGCTCATCAGCCCGCCTGCACTAGCGCCGCCTCATAGCCCGCCTTCATAGCCCGCCTCTAGCCGCCTCATACCCGCCTCATAGCCGCTCATAGCCCTCCAACCAATTTCTCCCCTACTATTTTCACTACGTAATGTATCGGTAATTATAGTTCATCAAATAATATTAAATGTGATGTTTACCATTAGAGGAAATCAAGTTTTGGAAAACGATGTTTGGAGCATATGTCGTGGCTTTTTTTCTTTTTCTTTTTTTTTAGAATACGAGCGCATGTAGAAAAGGTGGAATACATTAAAAAACGGAATGAACTGGATACTTGAACATTTAACGACGCACCACGAAATTATGTTTCTCATATTTATCAAGGTATTTGAAACGACAGTACTGATTTCATGTTCCCAAGAATTTAACTTATACCACTTCACAACATTCCAAAACCATTACTTACCAGTTCCTAAGGTCCGATTAGGAAGAAGGTCGATTACCACACGTGCCACATCAGTCCGCACACTCAGAGCTCGTCAGGTGCGTTGCTTATCACTAGTTTGTACGCGTCCTCGCAGAAACTCTCCTGGCAGACTTGCATCTGTCCGGTATGGGCGGGCATTATTCCCAAGAGCTTCAACCAATGCCCTGTGACATTCTCGGGCATTTCTCCCAAGGAGAACGGCTGTCTTTGTGTATGAGCGCCGCTCGGAACTGGTTACATTTATCTCGCACGGCAGTAGTCAGACAAAGGATTTCACATTGCTCTGTGCGAATAGAAATTGACAGAGCTATCTGTTGTGAACCCACATTAGTACAGCATTTACTTCACGTGCCAAATAAAATTGTCTTATACAATGTTTGTTTAAGGGGGAAAATATTTGCCATGACTTCTGCCCCAACCCTCGTATTTATTTTATTCTGTGGAAGGAAGGACGCAGAAGTTTCCAAATTCCTCCTTGTGAATCTGTTCGGTCTCTTTCAACCGTGTATTTCTTTATAGATCAACCAGCAAAAAAATCAATAAAATATCGTGGCATTGAATAAAATATGACGATATTTTTAAGGATGTGGAGACTACGCAAGTGCTGTCTGCCCGCAGGACTTCCTGGGCATCCTGTCGAAGGTGTCGCGTGGGTCGGTGCAGGAGAAGCTGCAATGGATCTTCGGGCTGTACGACCTGAACGGTGACGGACTCATCACCAAGAACGAGATGCTCGACGTGGTGACGTCCATCTACGAGATGCTGGGCCGCTCCACGGAGCCGCAAGTGGATGAGCATTCCGCCAAAGAGCATGTCGAGAAGATCTTCCACGTAAGTGCATGCGCAATGCGAGCCTTTTTTTAATTTGATACTGTTTTAAGTTCCTAAATCCTAATACAAATACAGTATTTACTGTCAGCAAGCAAAGTAAAAGTTTCAGGAAAGAGGGAGTTACAAGTAAAGGAGTAGTAAGAACAATTTTTGTAGTGTTCTTCTTTATCCGAAAAACGTAACTACGCTTATATAATCATTGCTAGCAAAGTTTATAAATTAATTATAATTTGTTTACTGTTTTCGAAAATAATGTATCGGTTTGAAGATTGGGTCCCAATAAACTTTGTGAATTCAAAGTTGGGCTTTTTGAAGTATTATTTTCTTGAAATGTTTGTAAGGCATTTTCTTTTAATGTGTAATTTTCAATTTATGATCAATTAGAAATATTTTCAAAGGAAATGTTTAGAAGACTCATTCATTATCCTGCAAGCAAGAAAAAGTATGTATTTTATACATTTTTTTTAAAAAAATACTGAGGTAATAGGAAACATAATTGGATTTATTTGAAATGTTTTTTTGAACGAAACGCTGAACTCTGGCAATTTTCTAACGTCTACATACTGTTGGAACGAACTCCACCAGGCGAGTGACATATCTGGTACGTTCAAAAACCAGGTACGTCGGCCGTCTTTATGAAGTTTCACAACCGAAATGTGTTCTACACCAAATTCGAACATTATTATTTCGAACTTATGTCTAAACTACCACAAAAAATGTGCTAGAGTAAATCAAGACCCTGCAAGAATATCGATGCGGTTCTTCTTCAAAGATGTTTCCCGAATTAAAATTTCATAAAACAAAATGTCATTTTTTAAAGAATTGTAACATATGAAGTGGCCAGCGAGCCATGATTTTGACACCATTATTCTAGTTCTTCCACTTCCTCATCCCTCATCCACTGCACTTTCTCCCTACCCTAGCACAGGTAGGCACTGTTTCTCCCTACAGGCTCAGGAGGCTCAGGGCATTAACAGATCACTGCAATGCCTCTGACCGGGAGGTCCTACGGCTCCAGTCCCGACGACGGCAGGATTTTTGACTCTAGCTACAGCGTCCAGGTGCTCTGATAGGTAGTTTTCCATGTTTCGACGATTGAAGTGAAGTGAATGCCAAGTGAATGCCGGAGCAGTAACCTAACAAACGGGCCACTGACAGCACAAAATCTTTCGAGCCTCTTCATTGTTGTATTCTCACTCTTAGTTACCAACACATACACTTACATTCACTTCGCTACCACATATGCCTGGAGACCAATCGGGAGCGTGGAGCTTGTCCCGGCTGGAATGATGTCCTGCTTGTGGGAGACACCTGGTTGACGGAAAAACCCGGTAACCGATGTGTAATTCGCAGCCGAATCTCTCCTTCCAGCAGGGAAAGATCACCGCCAGTTGACACGCCCGGAATCACTGATTTAGTCATCAGTGCATCAACACGCCTTCGCCCCATGGTCTCCGCGTTGCAGCCGCCAGCTGCTCTCTTGGTCATTGTTTTGTCGCTGTTTAAGACAAACAGATCGACTATCGATGCTGTTTTTAGAGGATCAACACAACAAGCAGATTCTAAACAATGTGAAGTGTGCAAGATAGAAAGAAGAAGAAAAATAAGAAGAAATTTGAAAAAGAAAGAAGAAGAGAGATACGAAAGTGAAGAATTAGATAGGAATAACTCGTCATCTCTAAAAATAAAAAAGCGTCGTAAAGAGGAATACTAAACCATTGTTAATAAAAGATGGAACGAGAAGCATAGAAGAGGAAACCAAAAGTTCTAAATTGTGATTGTCCGGTGAGGACTGCATTGGTTTGAAAACGAAAAACAAGTGTTTATTGTTAATCTATTCTGTAACTATGTTTGAAGTTCCATTTAACGTAACGTTCTTTTGAGAGTTCTTTTGTCACTTCACCCTTTTATACAAAAATTAACAAAAGTAAGTATCTCGTGTATCTTTTTTTGTTGCCTTTTATTAACCTCATTGGGGAGCTCGTATATTATTGACTAATAAGATCGAACCTCTCTGGTCATTCCAGAGAAATCAAATCAAATTTGGTTCATAAACACTCATACAATTTTCACAATGTAAAAATAAATTAGTGTTACGAATAATAATAATAACTAATATATAATTATTGTGTGTATCTCACTATCCCATCCGTTTCTTAACCCACTTTCCTCTATACCAGTATTTACCCGATGGATCAGCAGAAACAATTAATGGACAAGAAAAAACGCGATTGAGTCAACGGACAAAGATTTGGCAGATCCTTGTATTAGTCGCGGGTAAATGATGTTGATGTACAAATTCTCCAATGTATTTCTGTATTATCTTCATGTCGCAGGTGTGATATAGTGATATTTTAATCTCACAATCTTATCTAATTGACAGATTACTTGATAATGGCATCAAGTTATCCAGATCACGGAGAAATAAATCTATTACACTATAAAATGAAAGGATTTTGTTTTTCCGACATCGATGTAGCTGTTGGTACGCAGTTTTCAAATCAGTCAGAAATCCACCAAATTCCCACGTGCAATTTCATCGTCAACATCACTACAAATACTAAAGGACAGCTATTGGTACTAGCGAATTGTATTATTTACAATACGAAATTCAAATCGTTATTCAATTCCCTGATTCAGCTAGAATTCAACTATGCGGGAAATTTTGATATTTTAAGATCATTTCATTCACTAACATGTGGAAATGGTAAACTAGTTTAATTTTTCTTTAATAAATAGAAAATAAAATATAGTAGTATAAGTATGAAGTATAGTAGTTAAAGACAACACGTTTGGTCTTCTTGGAATTTCTTTTATTTATAATTCTTATCTATAACCTTTCAAATGAACTATATTTTATTGTGATACGTTTCACAAAATTTTCTAAAATTATCTGCTTTCCATCTTCATTATTAATTATTTTTCAAATTATTTTCTTCATATGTGTTATGAATAGTTTAATTTTCTCTTAATATTTCTCTTGAATTGCTTCTCTCTAATTGTAAATGTTATTCCAACATTTTGGTAAGCATTTCCTTGTTTTTAATACGTAATTGACATTATTGTGTAATTATTTTTTGTCAAAATTATTAATTTTCATTCATTTGCTTATTTATAAAAAAGACTAATAATAATAATAATAATAATAATAATAATAATAATAATAATAATAACAATAATAATAATATTTGTAGTACGCTAGTCGTCTTAATGTGATGGAGTTTCATGGTACTTTTCATCGCTTCTATTTGTTATTTTTAATTTTTCAAAAGGTTCCCAAAAAATTTGAATGTTTTCTCTTGCCACTCTTCTGGTTAGTTTCATTTTTATGACTCTCGTATGCTATTTGCGTTTCTTAATAATGTTATGAGTGACATTGACTGGTACATATTTGTATGTTCGTTCCGTGATATGTGATACGGGATTTTTATTCCGGAGAAGTGTTGGCATACGTCTACTACGTTTGTTTATCAAGACATCTTTGGTTGGTGTTGTTCCAGCAATTCTTCACGCAGACACCACTTTTACATACATGCATGCGCGCTCACGCTCACACGCTCATAACATGCATACGATAGTTAATTATATATTAATTAAAAATTCATGCAAGTAATGTGTAGCATTCGGTACTTAAATTTCTGTCTTCTTGTACACTGCCACTGTCGGTGCAGATGATGAGAATGAATTTGACAACAAATTTCATACAAAACTAATCATGACGGTCCAAATGTTTTCTTGTCCTATGGCTGTTAAGAGTATATATTCACTTTTTGTTTCCTACATGGAAATTGTTTCCTTCTTTCACCATCACCATCACTTATCACCATGGGTATTCAAGTCCCGCCAGAGATCTGTGAGATATAAAATCAATAGAAAGTAGATGAAATAAATTTTAAAATTGTTTGCGCCCTCCTCCTCTCTGCACATTGTATTTTAGCAAAAGATAAAAGATTGCTGATTCATGTTATTGCAATGAGTTATTTCAAATAAATAAGAGTGAAAGTAAATGAGGCAAGGCGGAAGACAATCCATTAAAAGTAAACATGCGAACAAAATCAGCGAATCCGCTTTTTACTTTTTTATTTTATTTTTTATTTTTTCGTCCTAAAGCACTCGCCCCATCCATCGCCGGTGGCAGCCTACGCGCGTAATCTTTAAATCGAGCGTGTACGAGCGCTAATAAATATTTAACGCTCGCCACGACGACGGCCGTAAAAAAGTGACCAAGAGAACAGCTGGCGGCGGCGGTGGCGGCGCGGGGCCCCGGGGGGGGGAGGCTAAGGTGGGGAGAAAGTGCAGCGGTGGTGAAGACGAGGAGGGCCAAAGCCTGAAACAACGGTGTCCAAATCATGGCTCGCCAGCCACTTGCAGCCCGTTCAACAGTAGCCAGCGAATCTTTGAAAAATTTAGCTTTGTTTCCTCCATTTTTGAATTGCATTTGACACTTTTTGCCAGTAATTGGATAAATGACTTTATTGATTTTGGGCATGTCGACTACTTAGGTTATTAGTTCTGTAAGTGAAGTGCATGTTATATCCTGGGCGGTGGCGGTGGTCCACGCCCACTAAAACGTGAGGAGCGGAGCCGATCTACACGTCGTTTTTCCAGGCCAGGTATCTCTCTCAGTGAGGCCTAGTCCCAGCTGGGGCAAGCTCTCTAAGCTTCCGACAAGCCTTCCAACATGTGTAGTAGTTTATTGCTTGTATAGCAGCAGGGCTTGATTTCTGGCGGAACGCGACGCAATGGCGTTATGATACCTCGCATATAATTATTAAATTATAATATAAATATATTTATATTAATTATTCAATTTGTTCAAGGAATTGGTTGCCCCGACCGGCATTCGCACCCGGGCCTTCTGGTTTATTCCCAGCTGCTCTATCCAATTAGCTACCGAGACAACCAATCCTTTGAA